AGCTGACACTTGGTGCTGTGAGTTCTGGGCTGATTTACCTCTTTCTGATTTGTTACCAAGAAACAAGGCATGGGAAGTTTTGGCTTGGAATGTGCATGGAGTGAGGGCAAAGGGGCTCAGCTTGCTGGCAAAAGCCATATCCAATACAGGACTGGCAGTAGAGTTTGGAATTTTGTTCTTCAATTCCCTTGCATACAGAAGGGCTGCGTCTAGACTGGCATGATTTTCCACAAATGCTTTTAACGGAAAAGTTTTTCCGTTAAAAGCATTTGCGGAAAAGAGCGTCTGTGCCAATCTAGCCGCGGTTTTGCGCAAGAAAGCCCCGATCTCCATTTTAGCCATCGGGGCTTTTTTGCGCAAAACAGTTTTTACCTGTCTACACTGGCCCTCTTGCGCAAAAGCATTTGCTCAGGAGGGCTTTTTCCCGAGCGGGAACATCATAGTATTTGCGCAAGAACACTGACAATCTTACATTAGATTGTCATTGTTCTTGTGCAAATTCAAGTGGCCAGTGTAGACAGCTGGCAAGTTTTCCAGCAAAAACAGTTGCTTTTGCCGAAAAACTTGCCAGTCTAGATGCAGCCAAGAACTGTGGGACTCCGCAGGTGGAAGTTTCCCCAAAAGGTTGACGTATATAGTATGTGTATGTGAATGACAGGCCCAGACAGTATTTCTTTGAGGCCACAAAGACTAGCCTTCTCCATTTATTTTTTTTCACATTTTCATTACAATCTTTAAATTCAGTACAGAAAAGTTGATAAAAAGACATTTCAAAACATGTCAAACGAAAACTAGTTTCAGCAACAGCACAATCATCTGACCAACATTTACACTCAGGGAAGCTCATAAACAAATGCTCTTGATCTCACAGGCCCGACAGCAACAACATGGTATCCCATTCCTGCCTAACCTTAGCACTGGAAAGACGGGAACAAGCAATCGAGATTGGAAATGGTGGCTTGGGCAGTGCTAGAGACAGTGTTGGTCAAGTATGGAGGTAAGGACATAAGCATCATAATACACCAATGCACAAAGGGAAAGGATTTGACTGGTGGACTGTGTTTATAATATACATTTATTAAGAATAAAATTTGAAGAAGTTAGATTACCATAGGCTGCAAAATGGATCTTAAAGGGTCCAATAAGAGCTGTTTCTTTTTAATGTAGGGATGGAATGTATTTTGCCATGAAACAATCCCACTGGTTTCCAGTGCGATGACTGGAACCATAACACAAGTCCTTATTGTATGGATATTCCAGGGGCCTACTTCTCTCAGGTCCTGCTTGCTCCCTGCAGGCTACCAAAACTGGTCAAATTTTGCCCTCAAATATGTACATGTGGCTCCAACAGAAGTCAATTAAAATGTCAGGAACTCAGCACAATCAAAAAGATAATTATATTTATTAATAATGAGCATAATAAACCAATTGATGAGAATAGAAATAAACTTCCCCTACAGGCTGCTCATTCCATAGTTGCTCACTACAGGTGTTTCTGGCATCTTCCTCTGAAGCAGCTAGTACTGGCCACTGTCAGAGACAGGATAGTAGTCTGGAAGGAGCCCTGATCTGGTCTACCTGGCATTTTGGACATTCTCATAGACAGGGCTCGCCGAACCGCAGCGAGCCCCGTTCGCCAGCTGCGCTGTCCGGCTATCTGCGCATGCGCAGATTGCCCAAACCTGGCTCTTCCGGGTTGCAATCTACTCACCACGGGCGAATAGGTTGCATTATTTGTCGAGCCTTGCTCATAGAACACTAGGACTGGAAGGGCCCTCGAGAGGTCGAGTTCAGTCCCCTGCCCTCATAGCAGGACCCAGTACTGTCTAGACCATCCTTGACATATGTCTATCTAACCTGCTCTTAAATGGAGATTCCACAACTTCCCTTGGCAATTGATTCCAGTGTTTAACCACCTTGACAGATAGGAAGTTTTTCCTAATGTCCAACCTAAACCTTCCTTGCTGCAGTGTAAGCCCATTGGTCATGAATGTTTGTCTCTGAAAATAGAATTGGGTTGAGAGAATTCAATCCTGATGTGCTGATTTTTTTAGCACAGACTACAGGTATTAGTGGCTATAATTCAGATGTCATAGCAAGTTTCCTTACTGCAGCCAAAAGGAGCATGTTTAGAAGAGTGCTGTGCCATCTCATAGAGGTACAGTTTGGGAATAAAATGGAGTGCCAGATTTAAACCAAAGGGGAAGCAGCACAACAAATGAGGCATATTTCCATAGAAACTGGGGGTACTTTTCTTCGCAGATGTCTACGTATTGATTTATAGCTCAACCACAACTGGACTATGCACATTAATGCTTTAAATCTAGTCACAGATGTACCAAGGAAGGGTCTCATTAGTTATTGCTTGTGAAGCACAACAGAAGAATCCTAATAATTATTCTAAGAGGTGGCAATAATAATAATTTCACCTTCTGTTGCTAGTAACCACTAGATAATAAAATGTCCTTCAAATAATAATACAGCATAGAGAAAATTGTTACTTACACAGTTAATATACTGTGTACAAAATAATAGCATGAAATGGTGACATGGGAAGGCTGCATTTTGTTAGAAGCGTCGATAGATGTTTTCTGGCCTGATACACAATAATAATCCAGAGAATTAAACCAATTCTTGGTACCATTATGTTCATGATCTGCAATACAAAGCATGTCCTATATTCCTGGATAGCATTGGAGCCCAGAGTCAACAACAATTAGGTCTATAAGTTAGGGATGTTAGATAGCGTATCATTGAATAATCATGTAACTGCACCAAATCTTAGCTGTTACACAATTGTTCAATGGTCCTTGCGGGTGGGGCCAGCAGCCAGTTTGCTCCTGATCCCACTCCAGGGGAGCCCTCTGCCACCGTGTGCTGCTGCCTCTGATATAGAGGCAGCAAGTGTGATTCAGCAGCAACTTGTGAGGCTGTGAGGGGACTCAACCTCCCCGTGGACAGAAGCTGTGCCACCATCCCACAGAGCAGCCTCTGTCCATAGGGAAGTCGAGCCCCCTGACAGACAGAAGCTGCTCTGTGGCAGCAGCCCCTGTCCATGGGGGGCCTGAGTGCCCCATGAACAGGGACTGCTTTGGCATTCCACCTGCCCCCCTCCCATCCCTGCGCTACTGATATAGAGGCTGCAGCATGGGGAGAGAGGGTAGCTAGCTTTTAAGGAGGGGAGGTTTCAATTACCCAAGGGATTACTTCGATTACCCAGTAAGACCAGGCTCATTGGTTATCATTTAAACCACTATACACTAATATCCCTAATAGAAATATGAATCCACTGTATAGAAACATCTATTTTTTTTAGAGAGCAAGGTGATACAAGTCTGAATTAATTGGAATATGTTTTCCCTCCTGGCACTATTCCTTGTTTCTAAAAGGCACTTAGATGCAAACAAGCAAGCAAGATTTTTATAAGCATCAGTCCTTGTGCTCTGATATATATCAAAAGCAGAAGTGAGCATCTCAGACTGGACTCCATATTGCTGTAAGTGAAGAAAGAAGCACTCTGGCTATTTATTATTGTTCTGGTGCCAAATAGATTCAGTAATTTTTAAAAATGGTTAGAGTTTTTGTGTGTGTTTAAAAAAATATATTTATTCGAGAGCATGAGAGACAGATGAATCTGTCTGTACAGTAAATGCCCTCTTATATAGGATGCAGTAAGTGTTGGTTATATGTACTATCCAGACCACAAAACATGGAAAGACCAGAATGAAACAGATCCGCCTTTCACAAAGAAACAGAATCAAAAAGGTTATGTCTTAGTTAATAAAAGATCAGTGACGCCTTCATGTCTGTCTAATGTGTTATTTACAACCTGCTGGTCTGCAAAGACACTTGCATTTGATCAGCAAAGGTTAACACAACTGCTTCTGTATAGTTTTGGCTACTTTTTGCCAGCCTAATCTAGGGTATCCCTCAGCTCCCCATCACTGCCACAGCACTCAATGTCTTGGTTAGATATTTTCTCTTAAAAGTCAACTGTTTTGTCAGGCCCTCATGTTCTAGCCCTAGGCTCTTGCAGTAACCTCCTCAATCCTGAAGTTCCTTAGGACCATGAGGGCTACACATTCTGGGGTACGTATCTTACATACAAACACATGCACTTGGGTGCATGCAGTGCTTGAATTAATTCCATGATAAAGTGAATCTTGCCTGAATTCCTATATCTTCTGGTATGTTTCAATGGAGTAAAGATCGTTATAGTCAACACATCCTATTGTTGAAGAGCAGTGACCACTGTATTAAGATATCAGTTGAGATGATATCCTTCTCCATTGCACCTACTCTCAAATTTGGAACTCAGGTAAATCAAATTGCAATTGCATCAGAAAGCTGAATGGGATAGACGGAGAGGCAGGATGTCTACATGAGTTCATGCACATCCCTAGTACAGCCCCCTTTCTGAAACATTTAGCTGGGGGGCAGCAAACTGTTAAAACAGATGAAATAAGACAAAAATAAAAGTCTCAGTCTTTCATGTAGATTATTTTCCCTTTTTGGGGGGAGTACTTCCAGGCTATCAAATGTTTTTAAAAGAACATTCTATTGTGAATAAATAAGAATAAAAATATAGATGCATGCTTTGTAAACACTAGCCCTGAGGTATACAGTGTAATTCTTACATCTCTTATCTGCAAAGCATAATTGCCAATAAGAAAATGACTCTATGACTCTAAACATATCCCATCTTTACTTCCTGCCCTTATGCAAAAAGGAGAAGGCAAGAGATCTGAGGTAAAAGCCCTGCTGAAGCAGTGATAGTTGCAGTAGTTCAGAGCAGAGGCAGAAACAAAGATAGTAAAGTGCCATTTTATTTTCTTTCTAGCAGTCTTCATGATACATTGGTCTCCTACAGCAGAGATGTCCAAAGTCTTTGGCTACAAGATCTCCCACAGCTCAGCTGCTTTTCTGGAGAAAGGCTCTGATCCTGCACCAGTTTCTGTGTTGTGCAGAGTTCTGCTGGGGCCCTTTGGCCTTTGTACATGTGTAAGTCCATACTAGCTGCTCCCACGGTGGGTCTGGGGCTAGGATTCTGAGCTTCAGCCCTTGCTTTTGACATTTCCACTTTAGAAACCCTTTCAAACTCATAATCATGGCTTTGTCACATGACCTCGGTTGGGAGGCCTCAGCACACTTTACCCTGGTTTAAGTGACTCCGCATTACCCATCAGCCTCCCATTGCCCTCTTCACCCTCCTTTTTCCTGGTCCTGGGGCTCCCCAATAAGCCTTCTTGGTTGAGTTGTAGGGCCCAAGGCTGCTGCATGTGACACTGAAGTCAGCAGAACTACTCACAGGAAGTGCATCCTGAAACAGGCCTTTAGAGATCAACTCATTTGAATAAATCCAATTTATTAATTGTATTTCCTTTTCAATTTGGGGAAAATGGATAACTACATTAAAGGTTTTATTTTTTAAAATGACAATTTCTCCTACACTGATTACTGACATACAGAGGTTTGATGTCCATGTGCAGGGGGGGTAGTATGCACACCCTCACACAGTGCGGACACTGCAGGAATGTGTGTTCAATCATATGCCCACACTAAATATGTCATACGCATGTATTTACCCTCACAGTCTGTACTTGTGTGCTTTTACAGGTCCAAGTGTGGAGACAGGCAGGTGCTTACCCAATGTATATGGATATGAAGGCACTCGGCCAGATAAATGCAAAGGTATTTAAAGAGAAATTAATTTTAGATAGTCTTTTCAGTTTAAGGAAAATACATTTTAAGCCCTCATTTTGCTCATTTCAGTTTTCTGATTTAAATGTTTCAACACAATTAATTCAGTCTTACCAATGGGACCCTTTCCTGTTGGTTAAAACACACTAATACAAATGTATTACAATTATTAAAATGTGTAGAGTGCATCTTAAAGTTTCATCTGGATGTCCCAGAGCATAGAAATTGTATAGTGAGAATTTTAAAGCACATCTCTTGTATTGCGGATGGCACAGCAGAGAACCATGCTGAATATCATGCCAAAAATCTAAAAGAAAAGGAATGTGATTTAGAGATTTCCATGAGATGCTTCCACTTACAAAAGTAGATATAGTTATAAAATTGTCATTTTAGAGCAAGCTAATAATCTGCACAGAGGGGTAATGGAGACAGATGACACCCTGAAAGTCTCGTGTAAACAAACACTTACCAGACCTCACCATTATTTAGCACTAAGATGATAATAATGATACTGCCATCTTCACTGACAGAAGATCAACACTTTCACTAGTATCAAATCCAGCATTGCAACAGGGGACTTGAATTCTGCTTTGCCACAGAAGTGTGGCTATATGAGGTCATGGCATATTATGTACTCCTGAATAAGAGCAGAGTTTAGCTCTGGGTATGAGATAGACTAACAGATGTGATTGCTACAGGATACAATGGGTTTAGAGAAAAACCTAAACTCTTAGTAATTACTGTATACGAGGCAAGTTTAAATGCTGCCTATAAATAGAATCCATACAAAAAGCAGAGGAAACTGTGGTGGCAGGTTAAAATGGAAGCCAATGAGAGTGCAGGAGTCTCTAATAATTCCTACCCGTCAAAGTTTTTGGCTCTGGAACTGAGTTTACAGGCCATAAGCAAAGACTTCATCCATGATCATGAAAAAGGAACAAAGCTATACCTCTGAGTCCCTCTCAGGAACAAAGGGTGACAGCTGGCCAGCCTTACCGCCTCATAGGCACCCAAACTAGCATTTGCTACTCCTTCCAGCCCAGATGTCTGAGATTTGTTAAGTTAACGCAGGGCCACAAGGACCCGAAGCAGATGGCATCTGACATCCTCTCTTACCATGTCTGTGCCCATTTCAATAGGAAGTTTTGAAGATTTGATCCCTGCATGCAGTGCACACTTACTCATGGGCACCCAAATGCCTTGTTATAGAGGCTCTGTCCCATCTAGGTTGCTTTGCCATATTTTCTGGGCATGCCATCATATTTTAGAAGAGTCACCTTTCAGGTTGCCTGTGGGTAATGTTTCTGAGAATGTTTAACTCCCGCTCTCCATCCTCAGTCAGGTAGAGTAACCATATTACTATGCTCTTTAGTTTGAAATATATGAACCCTCCCTCCACATGCGAACTCAGGGAGCTTTGGAGACTCCAGGTAACTCCATTAACTTCCTCTTCCCAAGATCAGGTAGGAATGCAATTCCTCAGAAATTTATTTTCATCCTGTCTTTTCAGAATAAGAGGACTGCAGCAGATGCAGGCTGGAAAATGCTTTCATTTCCAGGTCTGTCAGGCTATGTTAACACTTGCCAGTTTTAGCTCAAAACCAATGCTAGTGTCCTCACCGGAAATCCAAATTTTGCACAGAAACTGCTGAATTTCAGCACAAAAATAATACTATCTGCACAAGAGTCTTTTTGCTCTCCAGAACTGTCCCACAATGCAGAGCATGAGTAGCTGCTCTTTGAAACTCAGCAGTCCTGCCTGCAGATATGCCCTGCTCCTCTTCAGCACCATTCTGATAGCTGGTGCTGTCACTGGTCCGGGACACAAAACAAATCATCAGTGTAGAATGCTCCTGCTGCCTCCCACAATGCAAACTGAGGCTGGCAGACAAAATGTGCTGTGCAGAGTCAGGGAGGGAGGCAGGGTTAGGGTCTCCTTCCCCTGCCTCAGGACAGGTTGCTTCTGGTCTGTCTGTCTGTCTCTCTCCCCTTCCACAATAATGATTTGCTTGTGTCCCAAAGCAGTGCATAGTGGGCTTGCCAGAGATTCAAGTGAACTGGTGCACTGCTCCAGCAAGAAAGAACCAGCTGGCTGAGGCATTCAGCTGCAGGAGATGGCAGCTCCCACCCCGACCTGCTCCTGGGCTCTTCCTCTGGCTGCTTAGCAGATGAAAGGGGCTGGCCCAGGGGGGCATCATCCTGGTCAATGGCTGTCCCAGCCCCAAGCCTACCCCCCAAGCAATTGAGGGAGGACAGGGAAGCTGAAGCTGCACTCCCCCATTCCCAAGATTTGTATGGGGATGATACTTGTTGTTCCCCTTCCCCTCGCTGTCAGGGAACAAGGGGAAAGGGCAGTTTGTTGCACTCCTTTCACTCTGGCTGGGGAGGGCAGGGGCAGATGAGCTGTGCCCTTTGCTCTCACTCCCTGACAGGGACAGGAATGGGAAGAGCAAGCAAACTCCCAGAACAAATCATGGGATGGAAGGTTGAGCCCCTCCCCTGCCCATCCTACTAGGGATGTGAAATGGTTAACAGGTAAGCATCACCTTAATGAGTGATGCTTACCAGTTCCTCTCCCCCAGGGTCCACCTCCCATTTAATTGGTTAACTGGTTTAAACTAATTAATCCCTACACACCAACCCCCTGTTCTGAGTCCTGAACCTCTTCACATGCTTAGCCCTGACTCCTGCAGCTGACAACCCTAGTCCCTGCCCTGAGCCCCCCACACCTCCAACCCCACCTCCTACACCTTCAGTCCCCTGCCCTGATTCCTACTTCCCCTTATCCCCAAGTCCCTGCCTTGAGCCCCGCCACACTCCACCCCACATTTACATTTTACAGGTACTGTCATATCACAACCCCTCCCACAGATATGACAATACCTGTAAGAAATTTAAGTTGCTTTCACCTCTGTAGCTATCACAGTGTGCCTCTCTCATCAGTGATGCAAGTACTGCATATATAAACGTGTTCTGATGCCTGTGGAAAACATGAACACAGACCAGCACTTTTCTATCACCCACAAAACCATCAGCAAAAAAGCTCTTCAAGTGTAGACTTAGCCTCAGTTTGATGTGCCTTTCCGCTGGATTTATGCATGAGTGTGACATCTAGTGGCCACATAGCTCAGTTACGAACTCAGATTTTTGGGCATGCAAAGCACCCTTTGTGGGAGAAGATGGAGTTTAAAAGAAGCGAGATGCTTTAGGGATACGATTAGATGAATTAGTCACTGATAACATGCTGCTGTTTAATCTGCCAACAGAAGAAGGATATATCCTGAAACTATCTGGCTAGCTTAAATTCAGTTCTGTTAAAGCAATGGGCACAAGAGCAAGGATGTGCTGGTTTCTAGCTTCCAGGTAATCCAAAAAACACCTGTCACAATAGCACAAGGTTTCCTTCACCAAACTGTTTGGATGCATGACCTGTTCTTTACAAGCAACTGGTTCAATTGCACACCTTCCTTCAGGCTGAGCTGAGTGGTCCACCCAGCCTTTCCCCAGGAAGCCATGGTTACAGGAACAGATCATGTTCAGATCCATTACGGGCACACAGCTTGGACCCAAGTATGTAGGGACAAACACTACCAGTGCCCCCAACAGGTCAGAATGGGAGAAATCTCAGGATAGCGGGTTGCTTTTTAGTATACTCAGACCTCTCCTGCCAAAGTGAATCATTTATATTTCTTTACAATAACAAAATGGAATTCTTCCCAGGTAGTCCTTATCCACGCTATGGGAATGCAAGATAAACTGATCAAACTGTGTCTCTCCAAAATAGGGATGGGAATGAGTATAGTAAGCATCACCCTTAACAAATGATGCTTACTGGGTAATAGCTAACTGTTACCCAGGGCAGCTTTCTGGAAGGGCTACTCTTGGCCCATGAAGCTGTTGGCTCCTAGCCCTCCCCCCACCCACTGCTGCTTCTGCCCCCCTGACTCCCAATGCAGGGCTGCCAACTCCCAGCCTAGATGGTCCGCTCCAGTCCAGCACATTTAACGTGTTAACCAACTAAACAGGATTTTACATCTCTACTCCAAAATGTATGGGGAGAATAGAGTGATTCCCAGAGAAAAGACTATTGAAAGTGTCAGGAACAGTTGGTATCCTACAGAAGTCTCCCCAGCAGTTCTGGGAGCTGCTCTGCCAGGACGTATGGATTCAGGGCTGGGTACAGAAAAGACAGACTATGATATGATGTGTTTACTCACTGTGATACCAGCAATTCCAATCCCAACAATTCCAACTAAACGCAGATTAGAATTAATTACATTCTGGATTTCATTCAGGCAGTTCTATTAAAAACAGAATGAAAGTTCCACTTAGTTCCCACATAAATATTTCTACATAATTTCCTTCAACCCCGGCAGGAAGAAAGGCTAACTAAGTGGCCCACTGCTAACGCACCTCTCTCTGTGCCTTGTGACCTCCGGGACATTTCTTGCTCTTCTCCCCTCATCTGAGGAATCAATAGTGTTCAAACTGCCAGGAATCATCTCCTCACCAAACTCCTTTGCTTCCTCCAGTGCCATCTCACTGGTGCTCGCACATGAGTGCATGAATAGCTTTTTTCATTAATAACTTCCCCAGAAGTTCAGGCCAGCTCTATGTCCAGATGTATGTATTATATCAGGGCAACAGGGCCTTTCAGGACAACGAGGTGTCACAAAACCCAGAAATGAGAGCGTTTCCCTCATTTGAAAGGACCTTGTTCCTAGCAAGGCTCCTCAGAGCATGCTGAAGGCAGGCACGTGCCATAATTCAACCTTCATCAGGCCTTTCATTCTGACTCCTAGACATCAACTGCTACGTGCCACGCTCTTCAGACTGTGACATTCCTACCACAGCTAGGAAGTGGGAGGGAGGCTGCAGACAATAAGGGCAGGGCATGTTCACATTTCTCATCTTTCACCCCTTCTGCCTTCATGCTGTTCACCTGCACAGAGCTGCCTATGGCTGAGAGGGCACTGGGGCCAATTCAGGGCAGATTGCTGCACTGTCTGTTCTGAAATACGGTTCTATTTGCCACATTTCTCCAATTTCCATCTTTGGTAAGTCTGAGATGAAGAAAAGATTTTGGAATCATGAATCCGAATGGCTCTAGTCCAAAACAGCTCCTCTGAGTGTGCATATAGTCGTGTCTCCTCAGCTTGCTCCTCTGGGCTATAAATCTGCCTGTCCTCCATCAGTGGATCATTAATGGTATTTTTGCTTCTTGTGTCAGACACATTTCTGTTTCCAGCTGACATATTGGCAGGAAAAGGTCATTAAACACACAGCACAGATTATACTTACCTTGGGCAGCTGGATGCCCTCTGGGCAGGTGGACTTCACCGGAACCTCGCTTTCTTTACCACAGCATTGAAGCTATGCAATTAAGAGAGAGAGAAAGTCAAAAAAGGGAGAAACTACAGGCTAGTTTCCTATTGAGACTCTGCATTCAGTGGCAGCAAGTGGGTCAGTAACTGAGAGGAAAGACCAGTGCAGGGCTACTCAACATGCGGCCCACAGCCCATTTGTTTGTGGCCCTCGGGGTGGTTTGGGTTTACGCGTGGCTCAACACGGGGCCCGCGGGTGGGATCCTTTGAACAGGACCTCCACGAGGAACATGCTGTACAACAGCGGGGCCTCTCCCAGGCGGGGTGAGCACTGAAAGACGCAAGCGGACGGGCTGGCTGAAACAGACGTGCTGGCATTTCTAGCCCCCAGGGAAGAGGTGCCAGAAGCGCTGGGGCATTGTGGGAAGTGCTGGCTGCTTAGCCTTGTGGGCAGAGCCTGAGAGATGCAGACTGGCTTGCACGGGCCATGTTTGGGTCCGGCGCCACAGCTTAAGGCTTAATCTTTGTATTCATGCCCATCAGTGTGAAAAGCTATTTGCATATATAAGCAACCACACTTAAGTTGCAGCCCTAGGCATGTGCTGTGAGTATCACTGTGGCCTCTGGGGGCTTCCAAAGTTTAGTAGCCCTGGACTAGAGACAGACACAAATTCACTCCCTTGCGGTAACGCTATTGTCTGTAATAGATTTTTTTGTACACTGAACGTTGCCCAAGTTCTTCACTTTCAAATGTCTGAATTCACAATGGACTTACTTGTGAATAGTAACCTCTAGAAACACTTAGATAAAAAATGCTCCTGGGCCGGATGGGACTTTGTGGCCCAGTTCAGATGGTCTGATACAGACCTGACTGATCAAGGCAATTCAAATCCCAGCAATTCTTAAATCCCTTTACTCAGGAAAACAGAGCAGATCCAGCAGCATGTGTAGCAATGTGGGCACTGTGCTGAAGCTGCAGCATGGTATGCTAATCTCTGTTGCAGACAGAATATGCTATTGAGTTTGTGGCCAGGGATAACTCAATAGAATCTTTCAGCGGGTTTGTTTTTCCAGTTTGCACATCTGAAAAAATGCTTGAAATTGCTCCTTGGGTCATAATTAACAGCCATGGAATGTTCCGAGGTTGTGAAATGTTAAATTACGAACAATGTGGGAATGATAGAAGCAGTGACAAAGGGAAGGGTTTGAAGTGAACACAGACTTGAGCATAGATAGGACTCTGGGTTCTAATCTTAGCTTGATTGCTAACAGCCTGTGTGCCCTGGGACAAGTCTCATTCTATGCGTCAGGTCCCTGGCTGTACAATGGGAATGATGACAGGAGCTACCTTTAATTGTTTACATCCCAGTAAGGCCGGGAGGCTCTGGGCAGGATCCATGTTCCATTGCGCTTACGCACCATGCAGACACAGAGGTAAACTGGGTTCCTACCATGAAGGGTTTACATTTACTTAATGTCTGTACAGCTAGTGTTCAGCTACAGTGACACTCACAATCTCACAAACTAAGGCTTGTCCACACATGACAGCAACAGCTAATCAGGAATAGCTGATCCAAATAACGCCTCATGTAGAAAAGCCCTTCGAGAACTGGTGCCTTTAAACACAGTTTGACTCAGAAATCCCCAACACGATTTGATTTTTCATATTTATATTTGCTTATTTATCGATTTTAAAGCTAGAAGGGATCATTATGGTCATTCAGACTGACCTCCTGTAAAACAGCCCACAGAATTTCCCTTGTGATGTAGTGGGGGTAACCTGCTAACTCTCTGGCTGCTGCCTGTAGCCCTGGTGCATCTGAAATGAGGGACCGCCAGGACCGAGAGAGGCAGCAACAGCATGAGCTGGCCATGGCAGAGCGAAGCGGTTCCTGGGAATCGTGGGGCGCTGCAGCACTAAGCTGGTGGAGTCTGTTTGTGCCATTTCGGGGTGCAGGAGACGGGGGACCCCCAACGTGCCATCACATCCCTCCAAAATGAAAGGTCTAGCAGTTCTCAGTTCCAGGATTAGTACTTACCTGAGATTTGAGCCCAGGACTTCTGGGACTTCAAGCAAGCAGTATACATTTGAGCCACCAGGTCACCTTTAAACGGACCCTTTAGTTTTATTCCCTCATGGCCCAGAGTGGGCAGCAATCACCCTTCTGCAGACCCTGGTATTCAACTTGTGAGGACTAAGCTCATGCAGGTTACTCACAGCTGCGTGCAACTGAATGAGAGTTTTGTTGCTCTTCCCCGTGTCCACATAGTCATCATAGGCTTCATGATAGATTTTCTGGACCTCCTGAACTGCCTGCAGAAATCAGATAAGTCCAGGGAGAGACTCAACTGGAGATGTCAGAGGCCTATCAAGTCCTACTCCAAATTCAATAGGGTTCCCTAGTCTGCCTCTTCCATGCAGAGTCAGGAATAATTCCTCCAAATTGTTTTCTCCTTGGTGATCTGGTGGATCGAAACAGTAAGGGTATGTCTACACTACAACGTTAATTCAAACTAACTTAGTTCGAATTAGTTAATTCGAACTAAGCTAATTCGAACTAACGGATCTAGACTAAAAACTAGTTCGAATTAGCGTTTTGCTAATTCGAACTAGCACGTCCACATTAAGTGAACCCTGAACCAGGCTTAAGGATGGCCGGAAGCAGTGCCGGCAGGACATCAGAGGAGGACTTAGAGCGTGGAGATGCTGTCTCAGGCTAGCCGAGGGCTTTGCTTAAAGGGTCCCGAACCCCACCCCGGACAGACAGTTCTCAGGAGTGCCCCGCTTGCAAAGCAGTCCTGGCTTGGAGTGCCCGGAGTACCCACACTGGGCACATCACAGCACTCGGCCATCAGCCCAGCTACACTTGCCGCAGGCTGCCATCTGGGGAGAGGGGACAATCGGGGGGGCTGCAGGAGAGGTTCCACCCCAAAAGCCCGCAGAGCCAGCCCAGTCCTCCCCATCGGGGGCTCGTGCCCCATTCCTCCCTCACCTCCTTCCACTTACCCTTCCCTAGCCCCTTTTCTTGATGTACAAAATAAAGGACAATTGTGTTCAAAAATGGAATCTGTCTTTATTGAACAAAACTGGGGGAGACTGGGAAAAGGAGGTGGGAGAGGGGAAGAGAGAGGCTGGGAGAGGGGAGGGCAACTAAAATGATCAGGGGTTGGGAACAGGTCCCATATGAAGAGAGGCTAAAGAGACTGGGACTTTTCAGCTTAGAAAAGAGGAGACGGAGGCAGGACAGGATAGAGGTCTCTAAAAGCAGGGGTTG